ACCAGTGTGTATAAAAAAAAACCCTTTTTCGAATACATGAGCCCATTTTGTAGTCTGTACAATGCATCCCTTATTCATAAGCCAACGTGGGGCAGTGACGTGTGAGCAGGCACGCAGTCATATCTTAAGAACTATTCACATGTTACTGCAAATTTTTCATTATACCTAATTTTTTTATGTAATAAGTCGGCGAACGAGCAGACGGATTACCTGATGGTAAGCAATCAACGCCGCTTACCATCAGGTAATCCGTCTGCTCGTTTGCCTACTTATTACATAAAAAAAAAGCAATCAGCGCCGCCCATGGACACCCGCAACGGAGGAGTTACGAGTGCGTGGCCGACCTTTTAGGGATTAGGGATTTGGAGATTTAGGGATTAGGGAAGGGTCCGGGAAGGGGAAGGATTGGGACTCCAGTAACCTCACTCACACGGCGGAACACAACGCTGTGGTTATTTCACGCCAGTTTTCTGTGAGGCCGTGGTATCACTCCGGTCGAGCCGACCCATTCGTGCCGAAGCATGGCTCTCCCACACTTGACTTTGCCCGATTATGGTTACATTTCCATAATAATTATGTAATGGATAAAAAACTTTTAATTTGAAAGACTCACCACTCCGTTAGTATTCTTAAAATTTGAAATTAGAATTATTAAATATTCAAAAAATAAACTGAATTTGACTGTGGACTACGTGTTCTCTAAAAGAATAATAAAAAACAAATAACAAATAGAGACAAAAAATATATTTTTTTATTTAACACATTATAAAACCTCTACAATTTCCACACATTATTTTTTTTCAAATTATACCCATGTATAATACTGTGCCTGCAGCTTTACCAATAAAAGAGCTTCTCAATGCAATATCGAGAGGTCATTACGGAACATGAGTGTAGGTAATGGACGTAACCCCCCCCCCCCCCCCCCTACTACGGGGCAAGTCCAATTTGTTAGACATTCCTTTGTTAGGAACTGAAGAAAATAGAAATAAATACATTATATTGTTAAGGAAAAATTGTGTGCTTCATATTTTTGAAAAATTTATTTTTCTAGTGTAGGTATGACAGTAGTACAATTAGTAGTAATTAAAATTGACATTTATCATACAAAATTTCACTTCAGTTTACAAAACGTGAACTGGCAAGCCGTTTCTTCTTTTTAAGACGTTGTGCTCTCAAAGAAAGAGGCGTAGCGAGTGAGGGACTATCCTCCTCTGCCACTGTCGCCGCAGAAGGATATACTTCGGGCGTCAGGGATCACTCGCGGGTCTGCGAGCAAGGGTTGCTCGCCGCCTGACCAAATCCAGACCCGAGCATAGCGTTCCGCAGAGGTCTCTAAGAGCCATTAAAGCCACACGCTCACGCAGGCCGAAATCACTTTCCACGCCCCAAAAAAAAAAACTCCAACACGTAGCGAATACGACTAGTTTCAAGCCATGCTAGAGGCTCATATTCATGAGCAGCATTCAGCTACACGCGACGCGGCGACTGTCGCGCTGCTACTATAATTACGTGAGTAAGCCGAACACATAATGATTAATTTAGTGTGTCTCACGAAAGTTATAAAATAAAAAAAACCTACTCTTACTTTCTTCCAGAAATAGCTAAAGAAATCACATTACTACATATAAAAAGCACAAAAATCGGCACTACAGTAAAATATTGAGCTATAACAAAATAATCTCCCACTTAACACTTAACAAACCCCCTACTTTTTTATTTCACCCCCATTTTGACCTCGACAGTAAGATTATTATCGTATCCGAGTTGATGTAATTTAGTTTGTGTAAACAAAGTAGTTACTTCTATGTAATCAAGGTTTTTATGGCAGACGTGACGTGACAATGAATCCTGAGTCTGGGTCACCTTCCATTTGTTTGACGAAAAGATTTAGAATTGCGTTTTTTTATGGAATAGGAGTGAAAAGAGGCGACGGATCACCTGTTGGTAAGTTACCTTTTTTATGTAATAGGTCGGCAAACGAGCAGACGGATTACCTGATGGTAAGCAATCAGCGCCGTCCATGGACACCCGCAACGGAGGAGTTACGAGTGCGTTGCCGACCTTTTAGGGATTAGGGATTTGGAGATTTAGGGATTAAGGAGGGATTGGAGGAGGGCAAGGATTGGGCCTCCGGTAACCTCACTCACACGGCGAAACACAACGTTGTAGTTGTTTCACGCTGGTTTTCTGTTACGCCGTGGTATTACTCCGGTCGAACTGACTCATTCGTGCCAAAGCATGGCTCTCACTGCGTCGCCCATGGACCAGAGGAGACACAGGCGCGTTTGAAAAGATATTTCGCTGGAAAAGCACTTTAAAGTTAAGCTGTGCGGGGCAGAACGTTTCGGAAAATCGCACAATTAGATTCTCGCATTAAAATTTTGTCGATTTTGTATCGTTATGCAGTGTGATATTGTGTTTTGTATATTACAATAGTACCAATCGGCTCCCTTATATATGAAACACATAAAAAAATGGAAGTAACATATTGTATACTAGCAATCCGCCCCGGCTTCGCACGGGTGTAATGCTGATAGTAATTTTCGCCGTTATTTTAATGGATTTTCAATCAATCTCTTTTACAGAAATAGCAACAATTTTGAAGTCTTATAGGTATGTATCATTATCAGCCTGATGTCATCCACTGCTGGACATAGGCCTCCCCAATTGCACGCCACTGAGCTCGATGTTTAGCTCTTCTCATCCAACCACTGCCAGCCACCCTGCGGATGTCGTAAGTCTACCTAGTTTAGGGCGCCCTACACCACAGGTATACATAAACGGTGCCAATTATAAGAAAAGAAGTCGGTTAAGAATAACTAAATGTCATTTGGCAAAAAGTAGGTAGGCAATTCGGTAAACTGTAGCCTTATGAATAAAACTGTAATAAACTTAGGCTTTTCTTAAGTTTATAGTTACGGCCGATGAGAACAAAGAGCCAAACTTAAATTAGATAATGACTTTTGAATTTCAAACAATGAATTCGTAGTCACGGGCTGAGCTAAGAAATTTATAATTAATAATTTTCCTAAAACCTGGACAAAATAAGAGCTTGGGTCTTAACTCGTAATGAGAATTCGCGAAATACCTTTCCATTTTAACAATAGAAAAGAAAAAGAAACAAAAACTAGGTGTGGTTTTTACTTGAACGGAAAATGAAAGTACCTAACTTTATATTTAAGCAATATACTCAAACTCATAACAGCGTCTTTGCTATCATTTTTCTTGAAGGCGCTTCGAACTAAATAGCTGAGATGTTTTTTCTTTTTACGTCAAAATTCACGAGTAGCTGAGTATGCTGTAGTTTCTACGATAAAGATAGAATTTTCATTTATTTTGTTGAAATACCAATTTCTTGTGAATCTAAAACAATTATTTGTGAGAAATATAGAAGGAGCTTTTTTAAATGATTGCCTTCTTTAGTTTTTTAAGGGCTTTTATTCTTCAAAATGATATCATTTACATTAATTTGTTTCTAGAATTGATGGAAAAATATAGCTATGTTTGTTTTTTCAACTTTTTCTTAAAATGTTTTTTTTTTTTAAGATTTAATAGAGACGTCTGTCATTTACATCTTAATAAACACTAGCGGCTTTATTACAAAACAAGGTTTTACTTTAGTCTAGGACTAAGAGCCAGTTTTTGTATTTCGAATTGAAGGTAGATGATAATAAGATTCATAATTCAAAACCAGACTGGTTATACCCGATGGTTTAAACCTGGACTAAAGATAAATCTTGTTTTGTAATAAGGGGGTAGGTGACGAAAAATGTAAGCCAATCAAATGTAGAATTTTACAAAGTTAAATGTAGTAACTGCTTGCTGGAACTTGACAAAGTAAAAAAACATAACCTATCCAGGTTCTAAAGTAATTTCAAGGTATTAATGGATATTAAGCAGAATATCTATGGAACGCTTTCTATCTCTACGATCAAATAAAAATTACAGAAAACCATTACCCGATAAACAAATTTTTAATGTGAAAGCCCGTCAACTAGCCTTTGTGTAACCTGATGTTAAACAATCGGCGATGTCCATGGAGACCCTCAACTCCAGTGGAGTTACGAGCACGTAGTTGGCCTGTTGGGGTTGATGGTTTTAGAGGCTTAGGACTGGAAGGGATGGTTGGCTTCACTCAAGCGACTAAACACGACGCTGTAGTTGTTACGCCAGTTTTCTGTGAGGCCGTGGTATCACTCCTGTCCAGCTTTCTGTGTGGCCAGTCTTCTGGCCGTGGTACTCTCTTGTTCAGCCGATCCATTCGTGCCCAACTCCCACGCAAAATACATTCTGTATTCAAAATCTAATTCATAACGGCCACCCACACATTGAAAAGGAAATTCCAATTTCAACTACTCATTTATTGGAGATAAATAAACGAATTTAAGTTAATCTTTAAGTCAGTTCTTTTGTTATTTTTTACCTGTTGTTTTATAAATCTAACTTTTTTTTTGACTTAGACAAAACCTGGTTACTAGTTGGTGCACATTAACCTACATCATTATTTGCGATTACAATACGTATATTAACGATTCTATTACAAAGGCACAGGGTTGGAAAAAACTTGGCATGATGATGTAGCTTGATTTGCTAGTGTTTGGACTACGTTTTGCTAAGTTACCTAAGTGTTAACTTAGTTTCACTTCGACTTGCCTAAACTCTCGCCTCGTGACGTCAAGACGCAGTTTTGTATTTCTACCAACTGTTGCTTGTCCATTTATTTCGGGCTCCAGATTCTAGAAAGACTAGATATTACTACCACTATCTATACTATCTATATCTATATCTATACTAATAGTATAAATGCGAAAGTAACTCTGTCTGTCTGTCTTTTCTTCACGCCTAAACTACTGAACCGACTTCTGTGAAATATGGTACAGAGATTGTTTGGAACTCGAGAAAGAGGGGACACAGGATAGGATAGTGGAGGGCGTCCACTGAAGTTCTCCATCGCGATCTGTCTTGAGCTTCACGGTTCACCTCACTCCACGTCTTACCGATGCTCGTCCCTTCTGCCAGTACGGTGCGGCGCCAGGTTTTCCGTGGACGGCCACGCTTTCTTTTCCCTTGCGCATTCCAATCCAAAGCTAGGCGAGAAACGACCTAGGATAGTTTTTATACCAAAAATGTGCAGGAAGTCCAATTCCACGCGAACAAAATCGCGATCAAAAGCTAGTTGGTAAGTAAAACTAATTACTGTTCGGTGCAATAAGTCACTTTTGTTAAGTACCTACACGTCAGCCCCAGCCAATCGTAGGAGAAGGAACGGAGTTGATTTTAGTCAGTAAGAGGCTGACATTCCCTCTCGTCTCGACCAAAATTGTGACCATTATCAGCCCCTCAAAAACAAATTACAGAAGAAGAAATCGTAAGACATTTTCCCAGTAAGAATCAAACATAATTACCCTGCTCATAGTATTAACATCTCACTGTACTTACAATAATTCCCTACAGACATTAAAATTTGTACGTAAACGTTAAAATAAAGTTACTAGGCTCGCTCATGTAACGTGCCATAGCAATCGTCACGCGATCGTCGCACAATTATTGCTCACCTTAATTTTTAGGTTAGGAAACATAATTACCTATGTTGAGGGTGACGCATGATGGTATAAATTAGGTATTTGGAGTTTGAATTAAGAACTTAAGTGTAATTTTGACACTTATATTTATGAAAAAAAAAAGTAAATTAAGCGTGACTGTCTTATTGGCTATCTGGTTGGTGAAATAGTACATAGTGCGAATGTCGGTCTCAGATGTATTCAAAAGTTCCCATATTGATTACAATACAATAAGGCAATTATTCCTGATAGTAAAAAGGAATAAGTTTAACCGATTTAAAAAAAGGTGGTTATTTCAACTGCGAACTATACTATATATAGGTTCTTTGAAAAAACAAACTGTGACAGTGTACTGTGTTTGCGTCTAACAGCATGGGTACTTATGTATTTGAAATATGACAACTAAACGTGACATCATCATCATCATTATCATCATCATCATCAGCCTATAACTGCCCACTGCTGAGCAAAAGCCTCTTCTCACACGGAGAAGGTTAGAGCATTAATCACCACGCTTACTTAACGCGGGTTGGCGATATCAAACTTATAATTAGAAATTGTAAGTTCAGGTTTCCTCACGATGTTTACCTTCACCGTATGTCAGTGGTGTCTAAATAATCATAGAAAGTACTTACATACAACTCGGAAAACGTCATATTGGTACTTGCCAGGTTTCGAACCCTCCTCATGCATGAGAAGCGGGCTCCTTAACCTTCAGGCCACCACGACATTCGTGACATCAAAATGAATGTATTAAAAATACATTCATTTGTAATTTGTAAATTTTGACTAAGAAAACTACATAATAAGGTACGTTTACTTCAAAATAATACCTATTTTCTAGAAAATATAGACATTCTGTGAACGCAAGTGTTCAGGTATCTACAGGTCGACTCATGACCAATTAACCGGTCAATAAACAATGGCCCCGATGGATCTTCGTTTGAATTCGATCATTACTCTCATTAACCTAGATACCGGCTTCTTGAACTTGATTCCAATACCTATCTTCAGGTTAAATTGATTGTGTTCAATAATACCTTTAGGTTTGATTAATTATGAGCTAAAATAATTCATTACCCAGAACAAGTGTAAGAGCCAAGTTTCGGCACGATTGGGTCCCAAAACTCCCAATAAATTTTATCCGACGTGCATCTAATTTGTACAGTTGTATACCAATAAACCGTGTGGTATACCAATGAACCATAAAAATGATGACAAGCATAATTGGGTAGTTTCCTAGGTCAAAAATAAATTAATTCGACGTTTTAATACGATAAAATATTGAAAAATAACTTTATTTTATTCATCGATGGATCGATACACTAAGCTGAAGATATTTTTTAGCTAATTTTTTAAAAATAAGTAAGCTTCTTGACGCAAAAATGCTATGACGTCATAATTCAATGTTTCATACAATTTTCATAGAAAAGTATCGTCTTTGACATTTGGTTAAAAGTATTGAATTTGACTAGTTAGAAACAACCGTATTAGTAGTAATTATTTAGAACTAATTTATTCCTTACTTTATTATCGTTTATTTCAACAAATCTATCACTGTCCTTTTTTTTGGAACCTGGACAACTGTACTTGGTTTCCAGTTGTCATTTATACAATAAGTGCTCCCCCCTCCCCTTCCTCACGCCGTCCGGAAACTATGAAGCGACACAAGCGACAATCCCACCCCGTACAATCAGCAAAATAAGCGCAAACACGACGCAGACACGACCCCTTCCTTTTACGTCTGGCCTTACACCCACTTTACGAACTGTTGCTTTTGTTGTAAAAAAAGACGAAATTTTCCTATTTTCGTAACGATCGCGGATCACAAGACAAGTCTTATTAGCTGATGGTCAGCGATCCACGCTGTCCACGGATCTAGAAGGAGTTATAAGTGCGTTTCCATATTTATTAGAGGACTAGCGGCCCGCCCCCGCTTCGCACGGGTCCAACTATCTACTGTCCAACTATTATAACAACAAAAGGGTCCCTTTTCCCCTCTCCCCTCAAATTTTCTTTCATAAAAACCTTCTCCTTACAATAAAAAATACAAAACAAAAGGATTGGGCAAAATTTATGCAGCAGCCATTTATGAGTTATGCGCTTACCAACACATTTTGCGATTCATTTTTATATTATACCTATAGATTGTCAGCAATTTGTTGATTCGAGATGAAGGTAGTATTGTGCCTAAGTAAGCCTTCTGAGAGTTGTTACGTATTTGGGGATTGGATATGGGAGAAGAGGGAATCGTGCCTATAACCTTACTCACAGATCGAAACACATTTTTTTAAGGCCGTGGTGGTATCACTTAGGTTGAGCCTACCGACCGTGACGAACATTGGCTATCTTTTGTTTCCACAACAATGACCAAAATTAAGACCTTTTTAATTCTGTCATTATGATAAAGGACATTTTTCTTATTGGCATATTATGCCAATATATAATATAACTACAAAATAGATTTGAAAATTCTTTGACAGTCGTAAAGTTACTTTTTTATGGAGAAACAAAAACATTTTCACTTCCAGAAGAAATGAAAAAAAAGTTCAATTACAAAACGAGCGAAGACTAGCTGAAAGCTAGTATTATTTTGTAGTTTAGAATGTTCCCTCGTATTTTATCTGTATTTTCTTTGTAAAAATTTGATTTGTTTGTTTGTATGTCGTGTTCAGTGAGATAATGCAACTGATTGTTATGAATAAGAATGTGTAGAGATTTGTAAGTTTGGTAAAATTCTTTTTGGAGACAAAAAGAAAAGGTTATCTGAATATTGAACCGTTTAATACGACAACATACTGGATTTCCCGTAAGCATAATGATGCCCTAGTATCAAAAAAAAGAGTAAAAAAGGTCATCAAATGACTGCTCTCGTTCAGGGTAAGGCAAGAGAAGAAGTCAAACTCTTACTGACGAAAAACCTGGTACCTTATTGCGCTTGATCTGTAACCCCGGCTGAACATTGGCTATGTTTGGCCTCATCTGTAGTGGTCTATTGGCTCTTTGAAGAGGAGGAATGCTAAGCGCCGCAGACTCGGGCCTGGTTCAATCTAATTTAGGATGTTATGTTTAATGACCAAAGTCTAAATAAGATAATATGACTATTTTTGATATTTTGTATTACTTCATCTTTACCTCCCTTATGCCCAACAGGTCGACAACGCATCAGCAACTCCTCCGGTGTTACGAGTCCATGAGTAGCGCCGATTGCTTACCATAGGTACCTAATCAATCTGCTCGTTTGCCGCGGTTACACACGAAAAAGGTAATAAGCAGCCGATCAAAAAAGAGAAAAGTCTTCAGAATTAAAAAAAAAGATAATTATCATTCATATATACGAAATAAAAAAGCTCAGGAACTCTTTCATTTCATAAAGAAATCCTTCAATCATATTATTATGAAACGTGCGACGAAGGAAAATTTATGGAAAATAATGTACTTATCGACATTTTCATTATAATTCAGGAAGAAGTAAGATTTTAAATTAATTTCTTAGCAAAATTCAGAAACAGCAACATTTACTAAACATTAGTTATACGTAAAACTTTACTGAATTCCTTGAAATTGCATTTCACTTGCAAAACACGTTCACCGCTTCGGAAACCAAATGAAATCCCAGCAAATGCCACACATAGACATGAGAGATCAGTTTATGCATTCCGCAGAACTTAACGTACATAATAAACATCCCTCCTCGCCTACAAAGCAAAGTTTTCCATCAGACAAGACTTATTATCTTGTCAAAGTAGGTATGTACGCAAACCTACGTTACCATGGTAACGCCAGCAGCGCGCGCACCCAGTCCCCTCGACGCCCCGATGCCGACTGGACGCGTCGGTTCCAATTTCGAAAATAAACATTCATTTTTCGAACGCGATTAAAAAAAAATATTTGCATGGCCAGTGTTTTTGGTGTGTTTTGAGTAATGGCGGCTGAGTTGATGTTGTTTTGTTGAATCTGTGGTGTTGTGTAGTGGTATGATAGTGACAGGTGATTGGTTATGGCCGAGGACGTCAAATGCGGGGGAGGCACGGTGAGTTTGTGCAAAGTTTTTTATTACACATGTAAGCTACGGGTTTTCGGCAAAAGCTACGTACAACATATTGAATTAAGGGTCATTTTCGGTCATTTTATGTGTAAAAACAAGGCTCTACATAAATAATTCAGGATGTAAACAAAAGCCTTTGTTTTTGTTTATAGTTTGTAAGGCTTTTGTTATCAGTTTTATCATTGTACTACGCAGAAGTTTCGTGGACATGTCTACACGTGGATTCTTGAGGTATTAAGGGAAATAATTTCAGGCCTGTAAAATTTTAGGACTATGCTACAAAGAGAGAATTAAACTTTTAAGATTTTGTGCTATTAAGATACTTGCTTTCATAGGTATTCTTGAAAATTACAGGTTCTTTCAGTATGTTTAATTTGTGGTATTATATGGCTTCAGTATATCAGGTACATAGTAGGTTGCTTTTATTATAGTGATTTAGTTTGTTTGTTTGCCATTAATTGTTACA